CCCATTTTGGTAGAATATGTGTATTTTTGGATTTTTTTCTCCCCCTGTCATTCATCTTTTTGTGCAAATCAGCTTAAAAAGATTAAAAATCTTCAAGGCCAGGCTGGTCAGGGCTCTGAAAATCTCTGTCTAATGGGAGGTATCCCTGCCCAGGACACCTGACATGACCTAAGGTCCCTTCCAACAGAAACCATCCTATGAAAAACATTTTAACATTTTAACCAGGTGTCTTTCTTTAGCTTCTGCAATAATCCTGACTGGCACCTGAGGTGCCCAGCTGAGGTTACAAGTGCCAGTGCACAGACACAGCACTAACACAATATCCAGGGCTCCCACCACCTTCAGGAGTGTAAAAACACTGAGTTTTCTCAGAAAAAAATCCACAGAGACTTAGAGATACGGCAGGAGGAAATCCCACTCCCACTCTGGCACTCTCTATAAGTTCCTATCCCACCTAACTGACAAGGCAACAATCATCTGGGACTTGAAATCCTAATTTTTGTGCCTCTGGAATGTCCTTGAAGTTGGTTGGTACCAAGGCCTCCGTGGTTTGGCCACACTGGTTTTCTCAGATGATTTTTTGTGACACCAGAATTCTGAACCTGTTCTTTGAAACTGTTTTACCCAGTATTACACATTCAAAGACTTTGTTTTTCTATTTTAAACAAGGCTTTTACGAGGTTGCTATTTTCTCCAGATTGCCCCCAGCACCAACTCCTCCTATTAAAATGGAAAAGCTCCAGCAGCATTAATGCCTTGCTTAGCTGAGTCTTTATCTCCTAAGGAGAACATTCCCAACAGTCCCCAGGCTGTGTTTGTATATAAAATATTTATATTTTCATTACATAAATAACAGGGAAGTCGCATGCAACTGTGCACTGTGTTGGAGAAACCTGCAGTCCTACAGAGAGCTTGACTTCTCTAACAGGGTTATGAGATGCTACAAATCACCAGGCAGGTAAACTCATTAAAAGCTCTCTCGTTAAGCCCTGGAATGGAAAAAAATGCTTTGCTTAAAGAGCAGGGACCAACCCAAGCTTTTATGTCTGTGCCTGAGGAGCCTCACGTTTTGGGCTGTGCTTAAAAACATTGCAGGCTGGGAGAGAAACTTGCAGAATTTTGTGTCTGAATGCACTGTGCCTCATCTTTTAAAAATAGCAGAGGCTGGAAGGTAGAGGATGCTATTTGAAGGTAGCCTGGCTCTGGGAGCGACAGCCAGGGATGAACAATGGAGGACACAGAGAGTTCTTGCTCTGTGGTTCTACACACCCTGAGAAGATTGAGAAATATTCCCCCTGCAGCAAACAGGGGCTGAGCAAACACTTCAGTTTCTCTCCTCAGCTCCTCATGAATTACTTATCTATCATCAGATGCAGGTTTCATTCTCTGCTCGGCGAGGTGCTGCCTGCACATCCAAATCTGTGTTTGCCCACCCGACTCTCACTCAGAGATCACACTCCAATGTTGTTACACAAGAGGCACCACTTACACCTTCCCTTTTTCCACATTTCTCTCTTTTTCTTTAAAAGGAGAACATTCTTCCCAGCTGATCAAACATTACACAGAATATTCTACCACTGGAAACATTTAATTAGATACATACCCACAAGAAATTCCAAGTATTAGGTGAAGAAATACATCAGATGGAATTATTCTGGACAGTTAGAACACCTGCATTGCAGTTACATTTAAAATTCAGTTCATACACCAAGCCAACTTTGTGAGTCATGAAACTCATTGTTTCTCAAGTACATTTGGAACCAGACAAAGGAATGGTGGTTTAGGATCCTTTCTTCTCCATAATTTTATGATGACTTTTGTTAATATTTTCCAATTAAAAAAAAAAACCAAACCCAACACATAACCCAGTGTTATCACAGATGAATGGAATGCAAAGTCAATCAAAATGCCAGTCAGAAAAATCAAAATGGCCAAACAAAAAAAAGACATCATGGAATCCTAGAAAGGTTTGGGTTGGAAGGGACCTCAAAGATCATCCTGTTCCAACCCCCTGCCATGGACAGGGACTCCTCCCACTACCCCAGGCTGTGCAGAGTTTCATCCAAAGCAAAGAATGGAAATTACTGGGAAGAGCTGAGCCAGAAGAAATCAGTTAAAACCAGCTAAAATAGCAACACAGGTATTTAAATCTAGGAAAGCACTTAAAATAGCACTGGCTCAAAATGCTCCTAAAGGAATTGCAGGCATCGTGGTGCCTTCTGTCCTGAGGGGTTCAGAGGTTAGGTTAATGCAGAGCAGCCTGTAAAACACATGAAAAGCTGAACCACCCTTGACTCTGACAGTTAGCACAGGCTCAAAATGCTAATTTCTAACTATTTCTTAGCATATTATATTGTTGTTGTCTAGTTGGAGCCTATACTTGAAGCCACTTGGAATTTTCCATTCATATTTGGTTCTCTTTTTGTCTTTTCTTGGTTTGTTTATGGACGTGGACATCAGTTTGGGGGCTTTTGTGGGTAAAATGGGTCTGACCAGATGTGCTTGGAGGAAAGCAGTATATAAACAGCTTTTTCCAGGAACATTGTGGAGTCTAAGATGACTTTCAATTACTCTTAATTATTTTTAAAGTCACATCCACCCCCTTGGTAGAAAATTGGAAAATCTGCATGACAGGAAAGTGCCAATTTGAGGTCACCAGCACAGCACATTACAGATGGTTCACAGGGAAAGGGAGTGCCCCAGTGGAGAGAAATGTGTTACCACAAGAACTGCAAAAGAATGACAGCAAGGGAAGAAACATAAATAATTTGGTCTGTGAAAAGAAATGTAGGGATTTAATGTGAAATGAATACTTATACACAAATTATTGTATCATCTCTGCGGTGGGCTCTGTGTGTGCAAGCACACAAATTCATGTGTGTTAAATGGGTAGCTTTATGTCTGGATTCCTGCAAAAGACTGCAGTAAAACCTTGTAATCATAAAGAAGATCACAAACTTAACAGAAGCAGAAAAAAAAAAAGCCGTTTTTTTTTTCTTATTAGCTCTGGTTTGCTATTTGGTATTTCATTAAGAACTGTTCTTTCCACAAGCTGGAGCTGATCACTAATTATCCAGCTCAGCAACCACAGTTATGTCCTGAAACGTGAGCAACTGGGAATTTTCTGTCCTTCTTCATCTGCCAGGAAGGTCACCCATCTGAGAGCTCAAGAGATTTGTTCATTTATTTCCCTTAATTAAAAACTGGTCACCTCTAAATAACAAGACACCTTTCAAGGGTCTCGAGCTGAGCACCAAAAATCTTGAAGTAATGAAGGCTGTTGGTCATTTAACAGAAATGCCTTTTGTCTTATGATAATTTAATTATTTTGGTTGCAGTCTGAAAAATATGCTTGCACAGCCAGGAATTCAGCTTTCCAGTTTCTCCCAGGGCAGGATCCATGTCATCAACACTTCCATGTCCAAAACACCAGCACCTGAATTTGAGCTGAACTCCTTTTATAGCCAGGAAAATCACAGTACCTAAATCAGGTTAAATTTGGGGGGTTTTCCCCCTCCCCATTAGCTTAGAGGAAGTTTTCATTAGTAATTTTAGAGAAGTATTATAAAAATTAAACATACTCAGTTTTTAATAAGTAATCATTTCTACCTGAGCAGGAAATCTAAGGAAGAGTCACAGGAGCCATGCTCTAGATAAAAATTCCATGTATTTGTATGTAAAGGACTGTATAATTTGGATGAACACAAGTATGGTACCAGTTCCAACCCGATTCTACAGAATTTAGCTGAATTATGCCACATTTCAGATGTGCAGTGAAATGGACTCTAAATAAGAACCAAAAGGAAAAAAAAATATATATTTTTGTGTGCCAAAGTGAAAACAACTTCTCTGTGCTTCCTGCTATGCATTGTAGAAGACAGGCCACATAACTGATACAAAAGAGCAAAAAACTGCAAAAACTGCTCAAAGATGCTCTGGTCACACCACCACCACAATAAACAGCTGCCATTTAAAAATAAAACCAACTAAATGTCACAAATTCTTTCAAATACTGGCTATTAAAGTGCACTAATGTGAAAATATCTGCGTATTAAGCAAGTGTGAAGCATTTGCATGGAAGTTGTAGAAGGCTCTTGGGGGGAATGAGCTGGAGGATTGAAATGCTGGTGCAGTTTGTCACTGAATCCCTGTGAGCAAAGCTCCTGGAGAAGAGCTGAAAAGCACATTTGTGAGCAATGGTTTCACACAGAATTGTGCTGAATGCCACAAGAGGTTATTGCAGGGCTTGTGTGCGACTCCTCACAGCTACAAAGGGGGGGAAAAAGATCTTTTTTCAGTGTTTTTGTGGCTGTTATGTGAGGAGATGTGCAGTCATTGTGTGTAGGGACAATGGAGAGGGAGTTACAATCCCCAAACACGTTTACATGGAGTTATTAATGGAAGAGAACATTGTAAGTAAAGTAAAGTAAAGTAAATTAGGTAAAGACTTGTGGGGAAAATTAACCCCTGTCATCTTCATAAAGAGTCAAATATCTTCAGAAAGATGATGGATGACTTGAAGTGCCTTTAGTATCTTTAGAGGCCCATTTGTATTGTTTCTTAAAATTGCTCCTCTGAAAATGGAGGCCTCCAAAAGCACTGCCTGGGATATCTCAAGGTTTAGGTTTCATGGGGTGGGATGAAGGGAATCTTTAATTTTATCCCTCTGTCTGGAAAAAAAAAATATTTTTAAACCAATGGATTTGAAACAGAAGACACACTGGGGTTATTTCTAATTATGACTTTATTTTATTTTGAATCTCAGTTAAAAACAGTGAACAAATGCCCTCAAGGGATGGACTTGCCCTTCTCAGGATGAGCAATGTTCACAGTCCTAATTCATTAACAAAGGAGGCTGGAAAAGTCTCAACCCAAACTACGAGACCACCCAGAAAAATCCAGAAACAGTGTCAGCAGCAGATCCTTCCCTCTTGGCAAGTGCTGGCCTGGAGAACATGTATTTATAGCAGAACAATGCAAATAAAATCATTTTTCCTTACCACAGGAAGCAATACGAGGCTGAAGAAGCAGACCTTCCAGTTGATGGCCATCTTCTCTTCTAATTTTGGACAAGTTTTGCTCATTAACACTGAGATTAGGACTGAAGCAGAGGCTCTGCTGGTATTTTGAGGTCTTCACATCAATATCTCTGCAACAAAAGAGAAAAATTATTATAAATATGTAAATCATGGAGAGAATGAAAAAGAAATGGACAGAAAACAGACAACCCAACACTTGAATTGCAACTGGCACTTTTTAGAGATCAACCAGGCTTTTGCAGGTTTTAAAGGTGGTCTTGGGTATCTAATTTAAAGGCAAAGAACTTTGTGTGATCAGTAACTTGTGCCAAAGAAATGCTGGAACAGGTACTGCAGCTGCAAACACCTGAATTGTACCCAGGGGAGGAGGAAGGGTGGATTATTTTGAACAAGAAAAAAGACCTTTCTGCTTCATCTCTGGAGTTGTGGTTCACACTTCATGATTTTCAGTAGTGTCTTAAAAGTAAAACTGTCTGGGGGCTTTTTAGGGGTCTGGTTCCCAATATAGTTTGTCCAGATAACAAAATCCACTCCCAGACTTGTTAGTAATCTTTTAATAGGCTTGTTAATAACCTGTTAATAGGCTTGTTAATAACCTTTCTGAGAACTTGGCAGGAGGGGGGCAAAAGAAGGAGTTGTAGTCTCAGGCTAAAGATTCATCCAAGACATAATCAGGAATTATTTGTACGAATGAATGTCATCCATATCTGTGACTTCCATTGCTTGGCCTCTGCCCTGAAATAACTGAGGACTGGGAGGAATGAATGTGCCTTAAGGTTTGGATTTATTTCTCATTATCCTACTTTGATTTGTAAAGGAATGGTTTGTAAAAGGACTTTTAGAACCAAAGGACACTCAAGTTTTATACTGACTACAACACACTGCCAGGACATCAGCATCTAGAAAGGAGAGAGTCTTTCAATCAAAAAATAAAAAAAAAGAAAAATTAATCTCTCTCTAAATTTTGGGAGAACAATGATTCATGAAATTCACTCTAAACTGATCTGTTTTCTTCTACCCTCACTTGATCAGTCGCTCACGCTCTGTTCTGGCACTGAATTTAATTACTTAACTGTACTTGTGATGGTTTATCAAATAATGAACCAGTGATAAGATCTCAGCTGAGGAGGACAGCAAACATCCCTGGTGACATTCAGCCGTGAGGACTTGGAATTCCATTAACAGCAGCAAGACAAAACCAGACAGATGCATTAGCAGCCCTTGGATTTGAAATTATTTCCTGATCATTTGCACTCCTGTGTGCAGCTCAGTCCAGAAAAGCCAGAGAGGCTCGTGGAGCTTGGATTCTGTCCTTTCATTCTGTCACTGGATCATCAGGAAATGATCAAAATGCAATGGAAGGGTGGGAGATGCCTGGCTAAGAGATGGACACATACAGATTCCCTGGGGGAAAAGGGGTGACCTTTAGAACACTCTTTTTACTTTAACCTGGCAATCCCTAGGTTTGGAAAGCGGAGGGTGGCTGTTTTCTGTCTTGTCTGAGTTTCAAAGGAGCTTCTAAAGAGACAACAAGAACATCTGCAAACCATTTCATGGCTTTTCACTCACATATTGCGGGGAAAATAAAAGAATCTACTTCATTTTTTGCCTTCAAGGTAGTCATGGAAACCTGCACCAAATACTGGGCTGAGGCCTTCGTGTCATCCAGGGAGACTGGAGTGTTTATTAGGGAATAACAGCTACCAGAACTTCTGCCCTGGACCTGCAGCAGAACCTTTTATATTGTTGAGCTGTTCCTGTCATGTATGTTATACATACATTCAGAGTCTACCTATTACTATTTAAGTGCTACTTATCTCTATTATCAATTAAAGGATAGTTATCTCTAGCACCAATTAAAGCCCAGCTATCTCCCAAATAACTATTACCAGCTATGTTATACTAGAAAAAGAAACTTTAAAAAAATATATAGGTAATGCTGATAAACATTACCATTCAGTACTGAGAAAAAGAAATAATTATATCAGTATTGGATTTGGAAGGGAAGCTTGAATGATTATATTTTCTTCTGATGTCACTGGTTGATAACTGCTGTAATTTCATTACTGATGCCTCATGTTGTTGTTTCATCTGCATCTGCCACTGTAATTAAAATTAGTGAAGTCAGAAGAGCCAATAACAGAGGGGTTGCACCTTTCAATTACGGATAAACAGCTCCTCAAAATAATCTTCAGTTATCTCTGGTGAAACAGAAGGGCAGTAGAAGTGTCTGAGACTGAAAATCAGCTGATTGTTGCTAAAACAGAATGGGTTTCAGGGGTTTATTTCAAGCATGGTTGATATACAGGAAGAAGAAAAAAGAAAAAGAACACTGTTCTGGTCACCTAGTGACTTGAGAAAATAATTCATCCCCTCTGAAGGTGAATTTGTCCACTGGAAACACTTTCAGTGCCACAGCAGATTCTTTATGAAAGCATCTGAGCTGCTTCAAGGGCAGGCTGGAAAAGCTCTGGCAAAACTTGTTCTGCTGCAAGTCCCCACTTCTTTCTCCATCTAAAAAGGTCTCTGGAGGCTGGTGAGGACAATTCCTCCACGAGAGGCCCACGAGTGCCAAGTGCACAATCTGATGCCACCAATGAACAAAACCACAGAGCGAGACCTTCCCAGGTGCAATGGGACTACTCCCAGGGAGGCATAAAAAGGTAATAAATCACTGCTCAAAAGGATAAAATATAAAATAACACAAAAATAAATATGGGTGAAATTGTTATACAGCATCTCAGAGTGCACCCACTGGATGAATGAAGTTGAGGAATTTTTTTCATGAATGAAAGAGGATTTTTTGTGGCTTTCCAAGGCAGTTACAAGCTCTTACTGAGATCTCACCCAAAAGAAACCACCTGATCTGCTGGGCTCCTTGCTGTGGTCCTCTGGGACGTGTGCCAGTGGTTTGAAAGGAAACCAACACAATTCAAAGCTGACCCACAATGGTTTAGACCAGTGATGATCAAATGGGAATTTATCACTTAATTTATCTCACTTCAGTGTCCAGTATCCTCTTCCTGCCCCATGACCAAGCTCCTGCCCCGGTGAGGAAATCTGAAAGCTTCTGACATGCAGGAGAAACTGAGGTTTTGTAGACTGAATACATTTCAGGAAAGTCAACCACCCCATGTACAGTTCCTCCAATACTTCCTAGAGACATGAAGGAATTTCCCTATGAAGAATAAACACAGGTGGAGAATTACTGGGTGCAAAATAGACGACCAGGTAATTATCATGAAATCCTAGAATGGCCTGGAGCTGGAAGGAACTTTAAAGATGATCATTCCAACCTCCTGCCATGGACAGGGATACCTTCCACTAGAGCAGACTTCTGGCCTTGGAGACCACAACCTCTCTGGGCAGCATGTTCCAGTGCCTCCCCAACATCACAGCAAAGAATTTCCTCCTAATATCTAATCTCAATCTACCCTCCTTCAATTTAAGGCCATCCCCCCTTGGACTTTCATGACACAAAAATTCCCTCTCCAGACTTCTTTTAACCCCTCTTTAGGCACTGGAAGGTGCCCTAAGGTCTCCCTGGAGCCTTCTCTCCTCCAGGATGTGCAGTCCCAACTCTCAGCCTGAATTCACAGGAGAGGTGTTCCACCCCTCTGACCAGCTCTCCTGAGGGCTGGATCACTTTTCATTATGCACCCACTATTGTTTTATCTTTAGGCTTTCAGTAACACACTGCATTTTATTATTCTCCTCCTGTAAGTTCCCAAATGTGGTATTCCAGCTACATCATTTATTGAAAAGGCACAGTGGCCCTTCCTCACATTCCTGCTCACCAGCTAGGAGCAGAATCAGGAAATCGACCCCTCAGTGACCTAGGACATGTCTCCTAATTTTAGAAACCTGGGAGAGACATCCTCACACATGAGCTCATTGTCAAGTCTCTTTTTATATCAACAGAGAGAAGCAGACATGTGAAGGAAGTGTTTTGTCTGACCTATTTTAACCATCTCCTTTAAACTTCCAGCTCCTCCCAGAGTGTAAAGGAATTCTGAGCAGCCAGCTTGTTTGTTGACATCTCCACTGTGAGTATCTAAATCTGGACAAAATAATCCCACCTCCAGTCTGAAATGTATGGATCAGCAATATGAAACCCAAAACAGTGAAATTTCACCTACCACAATGCATTGAGAAGGAATTGGATTATTTTGGGTGTCAATAAATTGATGCTGATATATTTAAGGCAACAGAAAAGCTAAAAGAAGATTGAATACCAGACAGCAAGAACTCTAAAGCTTTCCATGGAAAATACTCCACAAAGAGCAACCCTATTAAGGCAAAGGAAAAGAACATAATGATCTTTCAAGTATATTTAATAGAGTAGTTATTATTTTTTGAAATTTAAATATTTTGGGTTGATTTTGTTTACCTACTTTCTGAATTTGCTGAAATTAAAACTTCTTCATAGGGTCATAGCAGCCAAGGGTCTGAATCTACTTTCTTTTATAAACCAAGACTTTTATTCCCCCTTTATGTAATTAATTGGGAAAGTCCCCCAAGTCCTTGTTCCCACTCACCAAGTCTGTTGTCAAAGACAAAACAGGACTCAAAGGATCACTACATCAGGGGGTCTAAGAAGTGGATTTTCAGACAGGATTTACTGCTACAAAGGACAAAACCCTTTTCAGCTGCACATGAATGTCTTGAGGTGTGCCAAAAATAGCACACCTTTGCCTGAAAGAGTTGTCAACAAACAAGGTGGAATTTTTTTCACAGAATGGTCCACAAGGATGGATGCAAGCTGTCCATTGTTCTAATATGTGAGCTGGTGTGGGAATCACAGGCTGAAAAATATCCATTCATTACAGATACAATCAGGCAGACTGTTGGTACCCAGTTTTTTCACTGTGCAGGAAAACTGCTGCTTAAGAAAACAACATTTAAAAGTGAGCTGATACAGCACAATTTTGCATGGATATATTTGAAAGAGATTCAGCTGCATATACGAATATGCCTAGATAATGAATACCCAAGTCTATTTGCAATGCTCA